GACTCATTTGTTAACAAATTCTGGTTGTTCGCCGGAGTGATTTGAGACTGTAATTAGCATAGAAACACCTACTTCGGAAAATGATGTTTATTTTAACATAACGGTAAATATATTTATTAAACAATGTAAAAACCATCTATCAGCTGTAGTTTTTATTTTTAAAACAAAAAAATGCGGAAAATGTATAAGCATCAAATGCAACTGAGTCACGTGCATTTATTGCAACACACGGCTGTGTGTGTTTGTTGACACATGACTCATGAATGTGTGTGTCTGCAGCTGGTGATGTATATTAGCTGGTATAATAGACTGTGTGTGTAAACGAGGCGATCAGAACAGAGCCGTATTGTTGAGCGTGTGAACAGAGGCTATTGTGAGCAGCAGTGACGACTGTCTTTATCTCTGCATTATGAGCTCGTTTAGATTAACGTCAGCATCAAATCAGAATGAACTCTTCCTGGTCTTGTAAAGAAAAGGATCTAACTGTAATATTTTGCTCAGCTTTCCATTTTCAGCTGTCTTGTTTTGAAACACCTCTCATTTTGATACACATTTTTCCATGGAGAAAATAAAGTGCTGACCTACATTTGTTGAATATCCTGTTTCACTCTGAAATACAGGCTTTCTGTGGGTCTTAAATATAATAATTCATTTGCCTTTCCACAAAAAAAGTCCACAGAAGTCATGGCATTAAATGTTGCATGCGCTGCAAAAAATGAATATTTTTTGCAGTGTGATCAGAAGGTACAGTAAAAGTTATTTCCATATTCTAGAGGTTGGAAGCAGTTTTTTTTGTAATATGAATGAAAAAGTAAAGGAGATCAATTGAAAGTTGCATTTTTAAACTTTAAAGCATTGCTAATACAAGATATTTAGAAACTATGTTGGCAGATTGTGTTCCGTTCAATTTATCACTTGCGTTTTCTTTACTTGGTCTTAAATTGACCTTCATAAAACCTGCAGAAACCCTGGAAATGTGTCAGAATATAGACGTAAAAAACTGTGGTTTTATCCCATCTGCTGCATTACTTGCATCGTCATGACATCATCATGACATCATCGTCATGACATCATCCCGTCCAACCGCAGGACAGAGAGAATAAAAGGTCTGAAATAAAATCTGAAAATATGGTTTTCTGTGTTAAATTCTGCAAAAACGACAGAAAACTAAAGTTAAACCATGCACAGAAAGGCTTGTGGGTGTGAAGTTGAGCGGGTTGGGGATGTTCTTCCGAACACACAGCGGTTGAGGGTTCAGATGTCCGTGTTCCTCCCTGCACCAGTTCCTGTCTGAGCCTGTAAAACGCTCTCTCTCTCTTCCTCTGACAGGAAAGGCCTCATTTCCTGAGGCTGATCTGAATCAGAGGCACAGAGGGAAACGCTTTCAGACGCACTACTGAACGAGTATTTCAGTGAACAGGACGGGATAGCCTTGGTAATGCCATAGTTTATAAGCTATGGGAACCATCCCATGGTATATGAATATGAAAATTGTTCAATATGATGTGTCATAGTAAATGAATATACTAATGGTAATATACTAATATGCTAAAACTAATATGAATATGTTAATCATCCAGTATGATGATGTATGAAATCATTCAGCATGATGGTGTATGAATATGGTATGAATATGGAAATTGTCCAGTGTGATGGTGTATGAATATGGAAATGGTCCAGTGTGATGGTGTATGAATACAGAAATGGTCCAGTGTGATGGTGTATGAATATGGAAATGGTCCAGTGTGATGGTGTATGAATATGGAAATGGTCCAGTGTGATGGTGTATGAATATGGAAATGGTCCAGTGTGATGGTGTATGAATATGGAAATGGTCCAGTGTGATGGTGTATGAATATGGAAATGGTCCAGTGTGATGGTGTATGAATATGGAAATGGTCCAGTGTGATGGTGTATGAATATGGAAATGGTCCAGTGTGATGGTGTATGAATATGGAAATGGTCCAGTGTGATGGTGTATGAATATGGAAATGGTCCAGTGTGATGGTGTATGAATATGGAAATGGTCCAGTGTGATGGTGTATGAATATGGAAATGGTCCAGTGTGATGGTGTATGAATATGGAAATGGTCCAGTGTGATGGTGTATGAATATGGAAATGGTCCAGTGTGATGGTGTATGAATATGGAAATGGTCCAGTGTGATGGTGTATGAATATGGAAATGGTCCAGTGTGATGGTGTATGAATATGGAAATGGTCCAGTGTGATGGTGTATGAATATGGAAATGGTCCAGTGTGATGGTGTATGAATATGGAAATGGTCCAGTGTGATGGTGTATGAATATGGAAATGGTCCAGTGTGATGGTGTATGAATATGGAAATGGTCCAGTGTGATGGTGTATGAATATGGAAATGGTCCAGTGTGATGGTGTATGAATATGGAAATGGTCCAGTGTGATGGTGTATGAATATGGAAATGGTCCAGTGTGATGGTGTATGAATATGGAAATGGTCCAGTGTGATGGTGTATGAATATGGAAATGGTCCAGTGTGATGGTGTATGAATATGGAAATGGTCCAGTGTGATGGTGTATGAATATGGAAATGGTCCAGTGTGATGGTGTATGAATATGGAAATGGTCCAGTGTGATGGTGTATGAATATGGAAATGGTCCAGTGTGATGGTGTATGAATATGGAAATGGTCCAGTGTGATGGTGTATGAATATGGAAATGGTCCAGTGTGATGGTGTATGAATATGGAAATGGTCCAGTGTGATGGTGTATGAATATGGAAATGGTCCAGTGTGATGGTGTATGAATATGGAAATGGTCCAGTGTGATGGTGTATGAATATGGAAATGGTCCAGTGTGATGGTGTATGAATATGGAAATGGTCCAGTGTGATGGTGTATGAATATGGAAATGGTCCAGTGTGATGGTGTATGAATATGGAAATGGTCCAGTGTGATGGTGTATGAATATGGAAATGGTCCAGTGTGATGGTGTATGAATATGGAAATGGTCCAGTGTGATGGTGTATGAATATGGAAATGGTCCAGTGTGATGGTGTATGAATATGGAAATGGTCCAGTGTGATGGTGTATGAATATGGAAATGGTCCAGTGTGATGGTGTATGAATATGGAAATGGTCCAGTGTGATGGTGTATGAATATGGAAATGGTCCAGTGTGATGGTGTATGAATATGGAAATGGTCCAGTGTGATGGTGTATGAATATGGAAATGGTCCAGTGTGATGGTGTATGAATATGGAAATGGTCCAGTGTGATGGTGTATGAATATGGAAATGGTCCAGTGTGATGGTGTATGAATATGGAAATGGTCCAGTGTGATGGTGTATGAATATGGAAATGGTCCAGTGTGATGGTGTATGAATACAGAAATGGCACAGTGTGATGGTGTATGAATATGGTATAAATAGGGAAATGCTCCAGTGTGATGGTGTATGAATATATGGTGTATGAATATATGGTGTATGAATATGATAATTGTTCAGTGTGATGGTGTATGAAAATTATAATTGTTCAGTGTGATGATGTATGAATATGGTAGTAATGTAGTATGAAAGTTTAAGAATGTGCTAATCATTAGTAAAATGTAATATGAATATGATTTTCATTCTGTATGTATTTTCTAGTTCTGCAGAAATCCATCTACAATAGACAATAATTTCCTGTAGACTAGTGATGAATATTTGTGTATTTCAAGGGTTAATTTATTTCCTCCATTTGTCATCTTTATATTTTTAGCCATGTTTTTTAGTTTCATATATGACTCTTATTAGTGACTCTTCCTGGTTCTTGACGTCTGTATGAATGTGATGATTGTAAACGTCTTAATCCAGTGTGTGTGTGTGTGTGATGTGGCCTGTCTCGGCACATCATCTGTTAGTTATGCAAGTGTTCCAGCCGCTGCAGCCCGCAGTCTGATAGTTGTGAGTACGCGAGAGATCCCGCATGTTAGCCAAACTCCTGCTGGTGCATTCTGGGATGCTCCAGTCTGGCTGTCTGCAGTTGCACATATACTGTTCATTTACACTATAAATATCACTCAGCGTCTGAGACGGATGATGTAAACGGGACGCGCTGCTGTAATATCATGTGATTATGGAATCGGCTCTCATATTCTGACCTAGTTTCATTATTTTACAGCAGAAATGCTTGCTGCTCAAACCCATAAATAGCCGTGCATTTATGTACTACTTAATAATAAAGAAAACATGCAAACTAAAGTACGTCGGGGGAGAAATTACATCTTTAGAGAACAGCATTTTATGAAATATATGCATTATATATCATGCATTTATAATTAATTATATTTTTACTGGTATTATTTTAATATCATTGACATACTATTATAGTTTTTGTTAATATTTTGAATTAGATTTTTATTCGAATATTTAGTTTTCACTTTAATTTGATTAACATTGTTGTGTGTTTTTGCCGTTTTTATTAGTTTTTGATTTTTTTAATGTCTAAATAGTGTTTATAAATTTTAATTTAGTGTAGTTTATTTAGTTTTTGGTTATTTTAGTACTTCAGATTAAATGAAAAAAGTTAATTTTAGCTAATTGCCAAGCAAAATGTATTATTTTTTATTTATTATAAATTTTTATTTATTATAATTTATTAGTTTTTGTAGTTTACCTATAATCACCCAGATTTTTTCGTGACCTGTTGTCTTCATTGTTTAATGTATGCTTGAATAAATCTGCCATTAAAACAGGTTTTTATTTTAGCCACAGTTTAAATGTTCATAGCTCTGTTTTAATTAGTGTCGATTAATAAATAAACGTAATGAATTGATTATTTAAAATATTTGTTTTAGGTTCGGTTAAAAATGTTGTTGCATCACTAATTTTTACACATTTTTCAAGAAATTGTGGTTGTTGTGAGGCTGTTACTAGGCTGTTCTTGTTGGTTGCTAGGTGGTTTCTTCCTGTCTGGCCTGACAAAAAGCCTCTGTGCGTCTGATCACTGAATCTGGCACTGTGTCTAAATGGAGTGTGTTTTCAGGGTCTGAGCGTTGGATGGCCGGGCGATAGGGTCAGAGACGGTCTGGCAGGATGAATTCTTTCCCGTCCATGGACAGACACATCCAGCAAACCAACGACCGGCTCCACTGCATCAAACAGGTGAGAGAAAACACACGATCCCCGCAGAACCCAGACCTTAAACACACCTTTAGGGTCTCCATTCATCTCACTGGCCAGTTGTCACTCTCTTCTGAGAGTGTTTTAATAGATTCATGAGCTGTGACGCCCCCTACAGGACACCTGGAGAGCAGACGGGCTGTGGTTGAACACAGCTATTAGACTGCCAGGAACAATAGACAATAATTTCCTGTAGACTAGTGATGAATATTTTTGGATTTCAAGGGCCTTTCACACATTCACACCTCAAAGCCTAACTAAACACATTTTTTCCAAGCACAATGTTTGAGTGTGATTTTCTTTTCTCAGCACCTGCAAAATCCAGCAAATTTCCCGACGGCGGCGTCGGAGCTGTTGGACTGGTGTGGAGATCCACGAGCGTTTCAGCGGCCCTTTGAGCAAAGCCTGATGGGATGCCTAACGGTGAGGTCAAATCAATCAGTTTCAGTCACTTAAAGGGATAGTTCACCCAAAAATGAAAAATTCTGTCATTAATTACTCACCCTCGTGTCGTTTCAAACCCGTAAGACCTTCGTTCATCTTCAGAACACAAATTAAGATATTTCTGATGGAATCTGAGAGCTGTGTGACCCTGCGTAGACAGCAATGCAACTGAAATGTTCCCAAGTCCAGAAACGTAGCAAGCAGATCTGTAAAATAATCCATGTGACATCAGGGGTTCAACCATAATTTTACGAAGCTACGAGAATACTTTTTGTGCACAAAAGAAAAAAAAAAAAATTCATATTCATAGACCATCACACTGAACAATTTTAGCTTCGTAAAATTATGGTTGAACCCCTGATGTCACATGGATTATTTTTCAGCTCTCAGATTCCATCAAAAATATCTTAATTTGTGTTCTGAGGATGAACGAAGGTCGTACAGGTTTGAGGGTGAGTAATTAATGACAGAATTTTCACTTTTGGGTGAACTGTCCCTTTAACCAATCAGCAGTCAGCTTTCATCCGCTGTTAGTAATATGAACAATTGGTTGTACCAGCTCTGACAGTTACCTTGTGTAAAGATCAATATAAAGATGAATATATACCAATTTATTCTTTTTATATTATTCTATTCTGGTCAGCTCTGTGTTATTGAAATCTTTTCTATTGTACTCTTCGATTCCTTTGTGCTTTTATTTATTCTACTCTATTATTTCTCTTCTATTTTGCTCCAATTTGTTATTTTTATTTAATTTTGCTCTGCTCTGCTTTATTTTACTCTTCAGTTTGTTAATTTATTCTATTTTATTTTGTTCTGTTTGGCTCCAGTTTATTATATTATATGCATTTTATTTTATTCTATTCTACTCTTCTATCCTGTTGCACTTTATTCTGTACCATTTTATTCTTTTCTATTTTGCTACAATACCATATTTTATTTTATTCTGTTCTACTCCATTCTATTCTCTTCTGTTGTACTTTAATTTACTGTAGGCCTATTGTTTTTTCTGTTCTATTCAATTCATTTTATTGTATTTTATTCTGCTCTCTTCTATCTACTTTTCTATTCTATTGTGCTTTAATTTTTTATTATTTTTTTATTCTGTTTTATTCTGCTTGAATTTATTTCCGATATGCTTTATTCTATTCAGTCGGCCTAAAGTTTATTGCTTCGTGACACTTTTATTCTATGAAGTGACTCTGTGCAGTAATGTCTGATTTAGTGTTTCTGCTGTTTCAGTTTCTACAGCAGAGAAAGAGCAGATCTGAGCTGCATTTAAGGAGAATGTGGAAAAAGGGCTAAACCAAACCTCGCTCAGATGTTTAATTAGGCGCTTTAGACACACATGATGTGTGCTTAACTGTAATTAAAACGCAGATATGAACGTCTGTGCTTCAGGCCTCAGGGTGTGGTGCTGTTTAACGTGGGCCGACCTCACGAGGGTTTGCAAATCAGGACAGAGATTTTATTCCCAAAACCGCAACCATTCAATTTAACTATGACAAAGCATGCATGCATGAATGCTGAGATTTCAGTGATGTTTGAATATTATTTGCGTCTGTGTGTCAGGTGGTGAGTCGTGTCGCAGGTCAGCAGGGTTTTGACATGGATCTGGGGTATCGGCTGCTGGCCGTTTGTGCTGCAAACAGGGACAAATTCACCCCCAAATCAGCAGGTGAGACTCCACCATCCTCTACGATTGTCTCAGCACCCTTATTAAACTGCAAAATGTGACATTAGAGTCCATATGAGCTGAAATGGAGCTTTTGGACCTGCTGCTGAACTGGGAGAAACTGAGCCGAACGATGACGTAACTAACTAGTTTACTACATTACCTACCCACAAAGAAGCAGAGCACATTATGGTCTGTTTTTGAGGCTCATAGTTTAGAGAACATATTTTTACTTCCAAAAACA